TTGCATCTAGCTCATTTTTTTTTCTTTTTTTTTTTTTTTTTCGAAACGATTCGAACGATCGAGCCGGGCTAATAGGCAGCGTGTTGCATGCATAAAAGGGAAACTTGGATAAACCGAACTGTCGTTCGCAAGAATCAGATCGCTGGCCGTGCGTGAAACGGAAACCGTTTCGTTTCCCAACGATTCAGAGATTGTGCGCTGGCCGCATTCGCTTAACGCGCATCATCGGACGTTTCAATCGGTGAAAAACCAGCGTGCACGACCGAGCATCTGATCTCGATTCGTCGGAGCATACGTCAACGTGGCATGAATCACGGGCGCGTCGTCGATCTTCGGAGTCGGATGCATAATTTTTCGAGTGGCTCGGTGATTCCCGTTCCCGCCGCGTTACAAGAGGCGCTCAGGAATGTCGAACGGGTCGGTCACAGGGTTAATGTTTGCTACCTCCTCTCACGTGCCTCCGACTTTTCTCTCTGGTTGTATCTCATTTGTAAAGATTCCGGGACAAAAGAGCCACGAAGAGTCGTTTGTGTAGCTCTGCGCCGCGCTTCGCCCGTGAGTAGTCTCGACTCGGGGGCCGTGTACGCCTACCGGACAGACAGAAGCGCGAGTCTGTCAAGTGGCGCGATTCTAATCTGACAGGGACGTATCGGTTGCCGGCCTCTTCTCCCTCGATCCCTCGGCGCAATCGGCGACGCGTTTCTGGGCCGAGGGTTACTTGGGCGCGCCGCCAGGCGACTTTTTCGATGGGAAGTTCGTCAGATAACGATATTTATTCTGTTCTACGAAATATTTCCTACTTCGAATATAAAATACGTGTTAAATAACTTTGAGACTTGTTGCCCAAGTCTGATTATAAATGACTTATTTCGGAATCTAAATAATTGAGTTTGAATCTAAATAAGAAGTTTAGACGGAGTTGAACGGTCTAAACGAGGAAGAACTCGTGAAATTTTCGTTTAAATTCAGCCGACGATATATCGTGGGATCGTATTTCGAATACCAAACTTCCGCCCGTCCTCGAGCAGCAGCTCTTGTAAAAAATAATCGCCGCTTATTACTCATCGCGACGTCGCCGTTGTAGCTTGTACGTTAATGTCGTCTATTACTTACCAGGTACGTTCCCGAAGGCGAGCCGGGTCCCTCGGATATCCCGAACGATCTTCTCCGGCCAACAACCCGAAAGCTCCATTGTCGAAAAAGAAAAATCGGGGGACTCCGGGATACACGAGGAGACCGATGAAATTATTTATTATTCCTCAACGTCGGCCAACTCTATCTTCCATCTCTTCGCTTGCTGAACCCAAACGACGGCCACTCAACTTCTACGTGATCTCAACGGTTCATCGGGTAAGTCGTTTGAAAGATTCTTACTCTATACTGCGAAGCAGGATTTCGAACGAATTGCAATTGGAAAAATTCGAACGCGTACGAACGCCACGAGCTACCTGTCTGCATACGTTAACGATCGTCTTGGATTTGTCTCTCGAACGACTCGTGGGTGAGACCGAAACCGAAATAACGCTGGCGGAGGTCAAATGATGTATAAAGTGCGTCAACGGACACTACTCACCGTGCGAGTACACACGCACATCGCGTTCACGGGGTATAAACGTAGGCGTGGCTGGTTTGATATCAACGATGGCCACCTTTCGACTGTAAATCAATCGATATCGCGCCGGCAGGAGGGGCTTTTCATAGGGTTTGCACAGGCCTGAAATACGGCTCTCGGGGGTGGAAGCATGCGCCAAATGCTGAATGCGAATCGACCCGCCCCGAAACCTTTTATCCCGACTCTGATCGCCTCTCTCTCTCTCTTTCTCTCTCTTGTTTTCCCTCTCGGCGAGCCAGCCTCGCGTCGATGCATTTCGATAAACATCTGGCTCGATTGATTCCCTTCCCGGTGTTAATTAGCACGCATCTAGTACCGCTTTCACGGTATCGATCGGCTGCGCCGCGTTAACGTACCGAGATCGCGAGATCACCTTGCCTCTCCTTTCTTTCAATTGGATTACCAACCGAGATTGTTCGTCCTGTTCTGATTACCCCCTCCTCCCCCTTCCTAGGTTTTCGTTTCTTCCTCTCAGAAGAGAAATTTATTTTTATACTACTTATTTTAACCGATATCAAGTAGACGTGTGTCTGCTCGACCTCTCATTATATGAATTTCAGTGGAACTCGATTCTTTAATAGAAGACTGTCTCTCAGATTCCGTTTGCTGACGGGACTTCGAAAGAATTATATTCATATTGTATTTTGTTCGAGTAGTGTCTCCAGTTCTTGAAAGAACTTCCAAGTTCAATGCCCCGTACGTCTGTAGCCAGACATTGAATTTCAAGTTTCAGTATATTGCTATCTCGCGCACAGTCGAATGTGTTTGATTTTATAGGAAAGCCGTGTATATATCTTATTAGGAATGGGACCGCCGTTAATTACCGGGCTAATTCGGTTCGCCGGTGCCGCGTAATTATTTAATCGACTGTTTATCAGGCCGCAGCATCGTCGGTGTCTTTGCGCGGACGTTTGAAAAAGGTTTATCCCGACCGTACGGATAAACCATACGTACAGCCAGGGAATTATCTGTGACCAAAGGAACAGGATGGATGTTGAAGATAGAACAAGCATATATGCCGATACGTGGCTCGTGGTAGTGGGAATATTTAATTCGATCTTTAAATAATTCTTACAAGGTATAAGTGCTCGATGTTGTATCGAACCTTCCGTATTAGTATAGTAAATAAATAACTAAGTTATTTTTAAACAGTCTATCGAGACTCGACGTTCTCGCTAAGTTGCATTTTATTTACACGACGAGATTTATCAATTTCTTCATACTATTTACTGCTCCTCGTACATATATGTATAACGTTTTCTATTGCACATCGCAATCGTACGATATCTTACATTTTTACAATAAATTAACGGAACGAAACTAGA